AAAGTAGTCGAATTAAGTCCTAACTTGTTTGGGATATTCCTTAGTTTTAGCAAATAGCACTTTAGTTATAATATAACCAAAACGTCAAAAATATACCACAGGCAGTCTCCCCTCGGATGGGCGAATGTTTTTTCTTTATTTTGTTGTTTGAGGGTAGTTTTCGGGTTTAAGACCTGAAAATTAAACTCAGAAAGTACCTAGTGTTTACATAATAATTTGTAAAATATATTAGGTCAACAAAGTGGTCTATTATGTATTATATTTATAACATAATAATCAAACAAATTATTGTTTTTTTGTTAATTTATTTATGAATAAACTACATAAATTCGTATTATATTAGTACGTATTACGTAATAGTTCATAAAACTAATCAAATTGTCTTGAATATATATTAAATAAATGTCTCAACTAGTATAATCGAATTTTATATTTTATTTTTTTTAGCAAAAGAACTTTAGTTGTTTTACCGACTATGGATCACAATTTAATTACTTCAATGCATTACTTTTTTAGTGCTCTACTTAGGCATCAACGATATTTTTTTTTTAATGGATTCATTCATTACCACATTTACATTTTAAAACAATTGTGTTTAAGTATTTAAGTTTCCTATTATTTTACTTTATTGTAAGTAATAAGTACATTAATTAGAATGATTGTGTAATACTTTAGGTTAACTTCCCCTTTTATGGGCTTAAATGTTAATTTAGAACAATTATTTTTTCTATGGTGGATTTTTTCGAAACGTTTGTTGTTGTACACATTTTAGATTTTGCAAGTTTAGGAACACGAGGAGTTAATATTAGACGGTAATGAGATTTGGCGATTTGCGTGCAAATTAATTGCTGTTATTATACTTTAAGTAAACGATGGTTTTTATTTCAGTCGAATATACGGTTAGTACACAACGCTTTCCGTTAAAGTTAATTCTTAAAAACACATTTGAAACGTACTGGACATTCGTTGTAAAAATAGCATAATATTTTATTAGAACTGCATGATAAATGTACTACTGTAATAGTTGTTTGCTTCCGACTAACAAAATTACTGTTATAATCGGTTTTGTTTCTTTGCATACTGCATCGGTCGGGTTATGCATTAGAAATTTGATGTTCTCTGATGTTCTATAACTGATTTGTAAGAAAATGATTTTTCTACCCACCGAGAACACGATTCGACCGAAAAATTATAATATGATACTATATTAGTGTGATTTATGAGAGGAAAATTACTCGCTACCTACTTTGCTAACGAACTCGAACGTACCCAAAAATATTGACCTGGCGTACTTACACATGTTGACTAATAGGACTGCACGGATTGTCATAATTACATTTTCCACAAGGATTTATCGTGACTTTGTCGTTGCCGGGTACGCGTTTATGAATTATGACAAAACTGTTTCACGCAGATGAAAGGGTTCTATTTTTCCCTTCACCTTCCGCTTTAAGTCTAAAATATAAAAATACAAATAGGACTAGGCGGTCGAGAAAGTAAAAAAAAAACACTATCGAGCATATTATTATTATGATGTACAGGCGTATAAATGACTCCAGACGTTTTTCGTTCCACAATTAGCCCTGTTTCGCTCGCACCGTTCATGTATGTGTGCTCTGAAATGTTGCCAAACGTAAATGTTATTGGAGTATTCAAAGCTAACTGCTCTTTCTATGTACAGCAGCCCCATATTATTACATACTTACATATTTTACCCGTCGCAAGAAAGATAAAAAAAACCGATAAGGTATTCATCAAACGAAATTATTTTTTAAAATCATTACCAGTTGCAAAAATCTAACATAAATAAGAAGAGCTGAACACTAAGCGAATACAATTGTATACAAATAATATTTTAAAAAAAAATGTTTAATGCTTTTTTTGTTGAATAATAACGAATAATTATTTCGTTTGAAAATAATTCAAATAAGTTTCAACATAATTTTTACAATAGAAAAGTTGATGAAATATTTTTTTGTTGTCCAAATAATACAAATATTAGCTAATAATTTAATCTCTTCACCAAATATCATCAGTTTAAATTGAAACTTTATCTTTACAAACCTGTCGTGCTGTTGAAAAATGCTATCAAACACATTTTTTGAGTTTCTCAACAAAGAGAACTATTAACTATGGAATCACAGATCTATTTTTTTTTTAAGACAAGAATATTTAAAAAATGTAGTGAAGTTCTTTCTACTAAAAATGTAAGTAGTATGATTATAACGTTGTGATTAAATAAACAATTGTATGCTGTATTATTTAAATATCTGCGCAACGCAAAGCTAACAAAGTACAAATAAACAATCAACCACATATTTTATATTTAACAGAAATCTGTTAAACAAAAAAAAATCAAACGAATTCGTTTGTAGCAATCTTATCGTTTTTTCTTATAGAAAACCCATTAAGATATGAGTTCATATAATATATGATGCGTGTGACCGACCAAAAATAATGATTAATATTGTAATGGAAAAAATACCATTGCGAGCAACTTTTTTTTAAGAATATAAATTTGAATTTTTGTGCTTATAGACGATTTAATACAATCAAACAAAACACGATCATTGTGAAATTCATTCGTTGTACGTTTTTAGTATCACTTTAACGCACATTACACTTTTGTTATGTACCATATTATTATGATTATTATTATAGTTTTTCAAAGCAACCCGCAAACCGAGTTTTTTTTCTCACGACAGCACGTGCAAGTGCACCGAGCAACGTCGGACCTTCCAATACCTTCAGCAGTGGGGAATGAGTTAAGTTTATTAGGTTTTGGGTCACTATTGTAAACAGCATCGCCCTGACGTTGTGTATACATCTGCGATCATTTTTAATCAACACAATGCGATAAATTACATGCCGTCAAAGGCGGTGTATAGGGTCAACAGCATGCGACCAACGAGGGAAAAACTACAAAAAAAAAACCCTCCCCCCGCGTTGTTTGGGGTGCACGTTTACATAATATGATCGCTAAATGTATTGGTGTGTGTGTGTGTCACCCTTTCTAGATAAATATCACGGTTGTGCAGCCATCGTTAACAGTAATACATTTGAGTAGGTACATATTGTATATGTATTTATAATCCACGGGATGACGCGAACAAAGAATCGGAAATATGCAAATATTTGCAGAGTATATGTTTTATCTGTTCAAAAACATTGACGATAACAATGTATAATAATATGCTGTATGGCGGACCACGGGGGTGATCAAAAGCATCACTACTATTTTAGTACCAATAAAATAATAACGTATGAAATATATACTTAATAACAATTTATTTTATTTTGCAATAACAATTTACAATATTTTTTTCTCTGCCTAGTAGTATTATCATGTTAGCAAAAGGAATTTTCAAATAGAATCTTTATTATTTATTAAAATATTACCCTATAGGTAGGGTCGTATTGAATGGTACCTACTTTTAAAGTAAATAAAAACAACCTACTTACCTACATATTATTTTATTTACTTATTAACCCTTTAACGGGTAAAATAAAAATAAATTTCAAGTACAGCAATATATAAGAAATATGTGAATAATGTGGCATACATGACAGACACATTGAGAGTACTCAATTATCTTATCATATTATTCATACAAATTAATTTATACCGTTTTTGAATACCTAGATAAATATCTAATACCTAAATACCTATATTTTCCAAACTTTTCTAATCAAAACGGCTTACAGGTAGTCAATAATATAGAAACTATTATCACTTAGATAAGTAAATGGTGTTAACTTAATCAGATGTCATGGGTAAAGAATAATGAAAATCAGTCGATAACCGTTTTGAATGTATTTTTCTCATGTTAATGGCGTTTTAGGAAAGAGACGTTGTTATTAAATGTTGTTAAATAATTTTTTCAACAGAAATATTAAGTCTATATTTTTTAATTTATAGAATTGTTAATCAAACATTTTTTTTTTTGTAGTATCTTATTCGTTTAAGTTGTAAGTACATATTTTATTAGTATTATTAATTTATGCTAAAAATTAGAGGACGTTGTGTAGTATCATTTTTTTTTCAAATATCGAAAACATTTTTATTGCTTAATATGCATATTATTATGTATACTATTTTATATGTATGTTGTATTTTATGACCTCAAAAAACATAAGTTACCAGTTACGCTGTTTTTGAAAAAAAAAAAATGTTTGTTTAAATGGTAACACGTTTTAACATTCAAAATTATATTTTCAACTCAAACATAGACTTAATTATTCTAGATAAAAATTTATTTTGTTTTAAACTTTTTTAACTAAAATAATAATAATTTTTTTTTACAAAAAATAACTCAAGTAAAAGCTTTCTCTATAAATGTATGATAATATATATGTGAATAATATTTTATAATTTTTAAAATTTATTTAAAAAACTATTTTTGATGAATTTTTGTTAGTTGAAATGCATCAAACGACTGAAAAACAAGATCTTATTATTAGTACTATATTACAATGATAATTTTTTAAAGCCAGAAAAATGTATGATTGCAAATATTATTATATAGATAAACAGAATGAAACGTGATTGATTAGTAAGTCAAAATCATCCTAACTATTAGGGGGTGAACATAAGTCTTCTTCTTTTCAATAATTGTTATTTCAACAATCGTTGTCTGTCATTGACATGAAGTTTTATTATCGCGGTGTCGTTTACACGAACCCCGCTATTTTGTGTTCGCTCAAATGGCTATCTTTTGTACTGCTCCACTCATTCACTTCCTGCAATAGTTTTGATGTTGTGAAAGGGCCAAACAAACACTTTAGTAGATACAAATAAAATATAATATGAACGATGTGATTGCAGTATAAATCGTTACTAAGATAACTCGTACCTTGCTTGAGGTCCTAATCGATTGAATTCATAGTCAGATTCATTCTTAAAATTATTTTATTATTGTATACAACCTATAAACGTACAGTCCAAAGTGACTGGCAAATGTGAACCATTGTAATTATTTTTTGTTTTTTAATTTGTACAGATGACTACTACAGTGGAAGTGACAAGTTATAATAGGAGGCCACTTGGTCACGGAGACATGGCTTCAATTATGGGCGGTCGGGGTAAACAGTCAACTCTGGCAAAATCTATAAGAAGGGCTACACCTATTCCAGTTTTACCTCCGCGAATTCCTACACCAATGCCTAAACCGCAAAAAGAAGAGTAAGTTGTAATTTGCACGTTTAATTTTAATCTAAATCATATCAATTATAGAATAATCATTGTGTCATCTAATTCAACCACACTTTATGTATATAAAGTGTGGTAATATAATTTAATATAATACTTGAATCATTTTCAACCCGTTTATTCATTAGCGCAACTTTCCCCAACAATTTTAAATGTTTTACTCTACCTAGCAAACCATTCCGCTTTCTTCTATAGCATACTATCATTACCAAATTTCACTTTTTAGGTATTTGGCTTAAGACCTACTTATTCACAAGTTGACTTTCCAGTCAGTACGAAAGCAATTCTAAATTAAAATTCAACAGTAACAATATAGGAAATCAGAAACGTTAACGTAAAAGAGATGTTTTTAGTACTTGGCAGTATCATTTAAAAACTTACTACTATGGCGCTCTCCGGTGGACATTTTGGAATGAAAAACAATGTCATCGCCGCTACTAGATAGCGTCCTATGTAAGATTACTTAAATAACTCAAAGTATTATGTCAGTTTTACTTAGATAACTTTTTATTTTAATAATGTCAGAGTTGTTAATAGTTTTACAATTTGCTTAATTAGGCAACACAGAATACTAACACGAACTAAATAACTGAATAATACCTACTTAACCATACTGTATAAAAAAACCGCACCGAGCCGAAAATATAACCAGTATAATATTAAATCTTATCACTGAAGTCATCCAAGTTCACTCGACCCACTTGAGTCCATTAATGAAATAAATACGTATAAGTTTACTCATTATTTTTGTATGCTTCTTTATTGTTTTATAAGAATTTAATCAAAATTAATTAATTTCAGTAAATTCTTTTTTCTAAAAGACGGCCCTGTTCAGAAAGCGAATGCCTTCGAGGCTTGTAATATTCACGATCATGATGAATTAATTTTTTTATGAAAAAACAATAATTTTTAATATTATGTGATACACTTAAATTTTATTACAAGTAAAAAAAATCAAAACATTTCAGTGTAGTGAATACTTTGCTAGTATTGGTCAGAAAAAAAAAAAGTTACAAGATATGTTTTTATTTTATAGTTTTATTATTACTAGTAAAAATATAACTTTTTTAAATTGTTTTTTCCCAGACTAAAACAGCATTTGAATACTTACTGTTAAATATTAGTGTTACTAATTTTGTTTGAAATCTTCGGTCAGGGTTATTTTAGTATACCGATGTTGAACTATAAAACAGAAAACAATTTTTTTTTATTATTATCCATAATTAAACCGTCAAAAATAGGATTTTTTGTCTTTGTTTTGTTTTTTTTCTCTGGCAGTTATTTTCTTAAATTATGAATGTGAAAAAAAGTTGTAACTGATGTTTAGTGATAGCCAACATGGATTATTCCTTGTATTTATTAAATAGACTTTGTAATTATTAAATGGACAAAATTTATTACAAAAATTAAAATACAACTTTTTACTTACAATCCAAATTTGTGCAAAACCATCCCAACTTCGTACCTTACAAGCCTTCCAATATATCACTCCACGTATTATTTTTTCCGCCTCGTGGTATTTATCTAATTACACACTTCAAAACGACTTTAACATAGAATCAATAACCTAATTAGCCACAAAACACTACACATGTATTTCAAATTACAGACTCACTCAAACCCTTTAACATCACAACTTGCATTCAATTCACTCCCCGGAAATCCCACTCGCCAACTTCGAAGACTTTGGCGTCGAGATCTATTGATCTAACGATTAACATCCCTGGATGGCCTACCTCCTCATATTATATCACCGTTTTATTTTTTCTGTACATATATTAATGTAACTATTTGCGTATTATGCCTTTTAGCATAGATTGTGTAAATATTATTGAAATAAAAAATGTTTTACTTACAACCTTTATCCTTTATAGTAAACGATGTGACGTTATAAGGGAACTTAAGAGCATCGCATATTGCCACCAACTTATATGAAACTCGACTAGTGCTTTTCAGGATAAAGAATAATACGTTCATGTATTTATCTATGTTGTTGTTGGCTTTGGGGTCTAAAGTGCCTATTATGCGTTTCTCCGCGTCGGTGAACCACCATTCATACACGCTGACTTCGGTATCCGACAAACGAAAACCCAACTGCTTACACTTCTTGGCAATGGTGACGGCCGGGCTGTCCGTTAATTCATTAGGGTCATAATCGAATTCGCTTTGACAACTGTACTGATACGCTTGCCACTTTGCTGTGGACCACAAAACCTGGATTTGTCCAACGAAAAGCCTCTCCATGATGTATACATACGACACGATCGTGTCGGTGGAATAAATCAGAGCGTCTCTGGTGGTTTCCTCGTTGGCTTGGTACAAACGTTCTTCGTACAACAACAGCTGGCCGTAAGCAGCTACCAAGTATGCAAACTCTTCGGTCACGATTGCGTCTAGCCTGCGCAAGGCGAACGACCGGTATTGCCAAAGAGCGTCGACGTCAAACGGTTTTCTGACAATCTCGTCGTAGCACCGATCTAGAGGAACGTCCAAATCGGGAAATATCGTATCGCGCAAATCCATCAGTAGGTCCGATTGCATCAACGGTCTCAGCGAAAAATTGTCCATGGTAAACCACCTGGTTTCGCCCATATACATTTGCAGGCGGTCCAAAATGTCGTTTAGGTCGTCTCTCGTTTGCTGTATAACGCCTCGGACCTCGTCGACGGACATGTGCGGTACTCTCTCCGGGAGAAATTTGTTGCCCAAAGCTTTGGAGAAAAGTTCGGACACCTTGCCCACGTTTTGTACACTGCTGCCAGCGTACAACTGCCAGAGATACCCGAGATCGGCGAACAGCCAGTAGTCGACAAATATCTCTTTGACGTCCAGCGAGTAGTTGTAGAACAACCGCAGCAGATAACCGACTCTGGTGTCGGAGATCTCCATTAGCTTGATGGTCGCTTCGAAACCGGGCTGCTCGATCGATTCCGAACATTCGCCACCGTACATTTTGACCAAGTGGAAATTACAATACATACGGTGTGCGGCCAATCGTTGGACTACTTCCGAGTAAATGTTTTTGATGACATCCTTCCACGAGTCTTCTTGGTGTCCTTGTTTTTCGGACTTAACGATCGGCTCACGAGGCAACTGCTTCTGAATGATCAGGTCTCCGCGTGTTGCAATATCGCGTGGCATATTTTTAGCAAATAACATAAACAAAATGGAAAAAATTAATTTTGTACCCATCGTGTTGTACGACGTAGAGTACTATTAAATAAAAAGGTCGATATTATGTTGTTGATTGCATCGAACGACAAATAATATTGTATTTACTTAATCGAATGCAACAATCGTTTTGTATTAATACACTTGTTCAAACCAAAGATCTTCTTAACTATGTCATGTGTTATTGAGTTTTTGCACACTAAACTAGATTACCAAAACCGTCTATAACTATAATTGTATTTTATTACTTTAATATTTACCGACCGCAACATACTACGCTCAATAAATTTGAATAGCCGATGAAACGTTAGACCTTTATTATTAATTGTTATTTTTCAACGTTGTATAGTATCTATAATAAATATATTAACGTTGCGGTACTTTGGGACAGCTCACAAACTTGTCTTAGACTTCGTTTCACCTTTAACTGTCTCAGATAAATTTTGTCGAGTCTTTTAAAAATGAATATACATTTTAAGTTATTATTAATTAACATTTATGTTTTTCATAGTAAATTAGCGTTCATGTTAAGCAATTGATTATTTTACAGTTACAGTTGCCATCATACTCTGTTTACGAAAATTAAGTAGTACATGTTTTAGTAGGTCGCCAATAGGTAAACAAACGAAGCATAATAAAATAGTCGTTTTAAGGATAAAAAGCAATTTGTAAACAATGAATTACATCATTGTTATACACCCATATATATAGGGTGATCAACTTATCGTGAACCACTCAATATCCCACTCGGTTTAATAAGAAATTTAATGTTCTCTTTACATAATGTTTTTATACAATGTGATCTAAGTTGGGAGGGAGGTAAAAACACAAAAAAATGTGAGAAATTGAGATCACATTGTATAAAAACATCATGTAAAGAAAACATTAAATTTCTTATTAAACCCAGTAAGGTAATGAGTGGTTCACGGTAAGTTGATTACCCTGCACTATTACGTAAGTACTTAAGCAACATATGATTTATATTGTGTTTTTATTGTATTTTCAGTGTTTCAAAGTTAGAAATTGCCAAGTACGAAAAATCGTATAGATCTTCACTAGCGACTCATTTGAAACTGTACAAAACTGATGCAAGTCAAAACAAAGGCGACACAATATATACTTCTCTGGTAATTATTTTATGTACATATTTCAGACCAACACTAAAATGATCAGTTAATGGAAATTTGCTGGCACCGTAGATTGTACTGTATACAATATATGTGATAAAATCACGTGTGGCCTATTGTCAAAAAACAAATTTGGCCGAAAAATAACATAATACTATCAAAACTTTGCGACGAAGATTTCTCTATCAAACGGATTAAACATAATTTTTTTAATTAATTAATTTTTAAGAATTAATCGATTTTATACCCACGTTTGTTTAATGTTACTTATATTTTTCAAAACTTATATCACACACTGACGGATTTATGTTTGCTGTTATGAAATAATGATACGGCCTGTCTCTCGCAACGCCGTATAAATAGTTTGACGCCAAATTTTGCAAAACTTTTAATTAATGAGGTTCAACCGTGCATAGAAGTTTGTGCAGAGTGTAGCGATTTATTTCAGGAAACATTATCCGTTAATTGCCGTGTGCTATCAACGTTGTCGCTCGAACCGCGACAGTAGAGAAGTCGTGTAAAACTAATGGAGCATCGTATTATCTTTCAGTTGTAATCGTTCTCAAAGAGGGTAGGTAGGCAAGCACTTTGAGTACACGTGTGTATATGTATAGTAATGTTGACAATAACGCTAGGATCCAGCTTTACTGAGTTTCCAAAAGTGTTTTTTTTTTTTTAGGGATATCTCCGTGCGCTTAACGAGGAGTCTTTATCGTTCATACAATCATATAGGTATTGGAGAGACAGCGTTGAAACTTTCTGGAAACGAGTATAATACATGCGGTTGGGTGGAAAGGAAATCTACTAAGGGAGTAACACTTGTGACCGCAAGTATAGCAAACTCCGTGTGTATTCGCAAGGGTGCGCGGGGGTCTCAATTTCTAAGATTGATGATCAGAATTTCGGCCTTTTCTCGGTATTAGAGCTCTAACAAAACTTTCTTATTTTTTCAAGAAATCTTCCCGCGTTATCTACAATAAGTTGGGTTCCAATATAATACATAATATATAGCTATACTGGATTGCGTGTCAGATCCTATATGTTTATTTTACCATCAGACTCTTATGGGGTATAAAACGCGGTGTTTATAAATTTATCCAGCAAGAACATATTACACTAGGGCGCGATTATGTATCGAATATCGATTCAAATACTTTTGGAAATAACGGCTTCAATTTAAGCAAGGCTAAGCTGAGATCCGACTAAATAGCAAGAGGATCGCATAATTAAATTTCCCGAGGAAAAAGAAATTTTGATAATCCTAAACAACAATATAGACGGTGACCATAATGTCAATGCTCACTCAATAACAGCTACCAAATCTTTGGTTAGCTCGTTCTGTCACAGTATTGGTTTAGTATTTGAAAACAAACAACGACATCAAACGTTGGCACATTTTGTAGAGTTTCTACACACACCTAGAGGTGCTAAGGAAGTTCAGACCTTTTAAAAACTCTGGAAACTCGCTTAGAATTTCAGCAAAAATTGTAATCCTTACTTGGGTGCTGTGTCCTGATAGCCGCTGATATTTTTTTTAGAACCTGAACGATTTGAACTTCCCCAGCATCTTCTCTAGTTGCGCCAATGTCATTTGAGCTGAATAGAAACAAGATTATTACAGAAAAAATGAGAATTGTTCAAGCTGGACTACGAAACGCTTTGAGACCGTAAAGCCACGGCCGAGGCTTTGACTGTTGTACAACCAAAATAATTACACAGAATGGAACTTATCCATTCCGGTACGTTGCGTGCGGGTACGGTGCAATAACCCATTGGTCGTGTGCATTGCTGATTATTAAAAGTCCTCGGAAACACTCGTAAAAGTTTACGACGTCCGCGTGAAACAGGGACGCAAAGGCACGACCAGGACAAAGAGTAATTTCCGCATGTGTGTGTGTACACGGTCAATAGGTATAAAACGGTTGGTCGTCATTTGTTCTTTTTTTTCACGGCCAAGTCGGCCGTTTTCCACTCTCACTTTGTATCCGAAGTTTGTTTACCGCAACTGGCGCGTGTGCGTGTTCCCGTTGACGGCCAAATGGTTTTAGGATAATACAGGATAAGGTGGTGGATGACTCAGTCCCGTCGGTGCCGTCGCTCTTGTATGTAAACGGTATAATAATAATACAACTATATATGATTACAGAGAGGGCGAAGACTTTGGCGACAATAAAACCGATCCAATACAGTGCCGGTGCGATCCCTATACACTCGGCACCACCCCCGCCCTGCAGAGCCGCGGCAGTTAAATAAATTATCGCCAGATTTATATTATTATACAGACTGCTGGTGCACGGCCGCGCTCTCCGCCCATATCACCACGGGCTATAAATATGATGCTGCCGCCCTCTTCCTGTAGGTTCTCCGATCCAATTAGAGTACACATAAACCTTTAGCCGAACATAAGCCCTCGGCGACTATACCGTATACAATATTAAGTACACACACGTCGAGTCGTCAAGTCAAACACGAGACGGCCGTTTGTTTGAAAAACGTCATGGCGTGGTATATTTGTCAAGTATAAGTTATATAAATATAACACGGTTGTGGAAAACCGAATGCGTGGCACGTGAAAATCGAATACTCTTGTACGGTGATGATAATTTCTACACGTTTATTATATTAATATAATAATATCTACAATAGTATTTATTATAATAATATTGACTTGTCAGTTGTGCGCGGCGTTTGCGATGTGATATTTTTATTGGGCGTTGTTAAAATGAGATATATACATAAAAACAAAATAACGCTGACAATGTAACTGACACTGCGCGCAGACGGGATTGGTGAAATTTTACTACCCGACATAAAACACAGTCCCGTAAACCGTTGCCTGCTGAAACTGAGTCTCTTGAGCTGTTCGGAGATTTAACATGCAGTCGTCGTAAGTCTCGCGATATGTACAATAACATACATATAGTGTATATATTTTGCTCTCTATCAGAACGTGCAATTTTCGCCGTCTATCGAACAGAGTATATTTAAGTGCCTTGAAGGCAATAAGATAAGTGCAATAACAGATGGTCATCGAGAATTAATCGACCGGTGAAATGTCGGTAAAACATATTTGTATCAATATTTTTTATAATTTTTTTTTTTTTTTTTGTAACCCCGTCGGGCACTATTTTAAATATTAGAGAGATTTAGGCGTACACAAGCTCCCACGATATCCGCGTATGTATTGTTATAAAATATAAATTATTATCCGTAAAGTTTTTTTTTTGTGTATACGTATAATTAAAACAAATACAATTCTATAAATAGACTATTCATTCATTGTTCACTGTTCCCGTTGTAACAAATTACTAAAATAATAAATTATGATAAATAACTTGTTTTTAGTGTAATTTCCGATTCGACGCCACGGTCATTTACACCCTTTTTAGTTGATCGGGTTTAATTAAATTACACGCGGTTAGACTGTTCGCTGAACCGACGAATAAAACAAACTCTAGCATAATAACAATTATGTCGCGTTTACATTCTACTAAATTTGACTGTTTAAAATCAAACTTTCCATTGGCGCTTAACCTATAGTTTTAGCACGGGCAACTAGATAAAAACAAACCTATTCTGTTTTGGCATAATGATTATTTCAACGGTGGCTAATCACAGTGACAACCGTAGGTATAGGTACGTTTCGTTGGGCCGTCGTCATAACATTATATTATGGCATTAACCGTGATGAATAGTTGATTATGTGCGACCGTAGGGTTTAGTACCCTTATTCTCGATGGCTGAATACAACTTGAAATTGGATACATGCTATATAAGGAAACATCAATGTTTTCCCACTTACAATTGTCCGTAATAGCGTCGGCTGCTGCGGTGATCAAAAAAACATGTAACTCCACGGTAGTCCGCTTTTAATCAAAGTTTCTTCGACGCCCATACAATGAATAAAACAACCCTCTTTCCCAGGCGCGTTTTCGACTACTGGGGTCGCTTTTTTTTTTTAAATTCTTCCACGTACAATATAATTTTCTTCCGAGCTGCGCGGTTTAGACCCCTTTTTTATGTATACAATTTTCCAGTTTTATTACAGGGTGTTGACTTCAATCAACCCCCGACGCCGTTTTCGACGTATGTCCGCCGTCATTAATTCTGAAAAAACTGACGGGGCATAAATCATTAATTGCACTTTACGACCGGAGTCGAATAGATTTTTGCCGGTTTTGATTAAGTCTTATGACGCTGTGTGGCTTTACCGCGGGGTTGTCCACACGGCCAGGTCGTTTACCGCACAGAATTAAAATACATGACCCGACGGTATTCCGAGAGTGCGGTAAGTGCGCGCCCGCATTAATCACGTTAAAACCATTATAACATTATGCAGATATATATTGTTAAAAATTTGGTAAACAAACGTCGGTTAATTTTATCGAAATTATGTCAGCATTTTAATTTTTTGCGGATCTGTTTCATGCGATTGAAAGAAAACCAACCTTTTTTGAACATTTATAGCTGTTCATGAAAGTGTATAAATATTTTATACGACTAGCGAAGTCGATTGCTTGTATTTCGTTGTTCACATTGGTAACGTTGTGTAATTTACTTATATCATACTAATGTGTACTCAATGTACACAAGACAACGATACTATTATTTAGTTCTATAGTTCAACAAATAATATTTGTATCACCAGTGCATGACGTATCACGTTTGGTATTGTATATGTTACCTTATTTCTGATGTATTAAATATATATAATATGTAATAAGATGTATTAATATATTTAATTATTTATTTTGTTAGTTAAAAAAAAATTAGGAAACATTAAAAAAATTGATTTATAAACACAATAGGGGAATATTTGATACTATTTTCTTATAGGTAAATATACTAGTTATAAAAATTACATAAATTATACAAACTCATAAAACTACGGGCCATTTTATTACCAACTATTGGTCGCAATGTTATACGTTATAGTAATAAGTAATTATTCCTTAAATTATATTATATAACTTAATTAGATCCAACATTTATATAGTTTATGTTATATAACATGGCTTGACTACATTGGATAAATGTCTATTAAATACATATGTGAAAATTAATTTATTGTTTATAGGACGCAACAAACAATAAATGTCACCAGTTGAACAAATTAGTTGTCCACATGTTATTATAGATTAACCGGATGTCCACGAAATAGGATTTTTTAAATTTTTATTTACAATAAAATATGAATAAATTGCATCGATTTGGACATTTAGGTAGTTTGCGGTAAGATAAGTACCGCAAAGTGGATGCGTTTATTACGAGTCGTTTGCAATATTGGTAAGACAAATATTTACTAATAAGCGCACTGTATGCACTCGTCGAATTTATTTTTCAGTAACTGACAATAAATTTAAATGTTGAAAAAGTTACAGTGAAATGAATCGACTATCGTATGCCTTTTATTTTAACAGACTTATAATAATAATGTATCTAAGCCTATAATTGTGGTCAAAGTGTGGCTACTAGCCACACTTACTACATAGTGGTTTGATCGACTTGGCGGTTGAACTACCCTGCGGTAAAACTAACAGTGTTTTGAGACATTTGCAAAAACCTATTTGACATTGGTCGATAAGTACCTACAATCAGTAATATGGCTAGTGAATTTCTCTTAAAATCAATAAAACTCGTGGATCAGTTTAACTGTAGTATGTTATTGTTGAATATACACTGCATGGGAAAAAACATACGAATGGTAGCTAGTATTTTATAGGTACGATCGACGCTAGTACTTTACCTATATCGCCTCGAGTCTTGCCCTGCACACAAGTGTAGTTGTCCGTTCTGTTGTCGATGGTCGTATACATACATTATTACCTCAGATCGTTATCGGCGCGGGAGTCGTTAAATTGTCTCAGTGTCGGTCTTGTCATTTTTTAAATTATTGTAATGATCGACCGCAACAACGTCCGACGACTACAACTTGTTTTCACTTACGCGTGTACGCGTTTTATCTAAACATCAATAATTTAAATACGGCAAGGAAAAAAAAACAATGCCGTGTACCTCGCTCCCAATAGTGGCTTTCTCGACGAGTGTAACATACTATTATACATACAATATTTTATATAGATTTACCATTTACGGGCCGGCGCTGAAGTATAATAACAATATTGCTTTTAGTATCAACACACGTCTTGTAGGTGTTCCAATAAATTCAAACAAAGATGAAACCGATCTGGATTCAGTGCCAGCGTTATTAGTATATTGAAAAAAATACATTTAGTTTGGTCTTTTTTTTATAGCTTATATTACTGTCGATATATTAACGGCAAAGTGGTAGTTTTTAAAGACAATTTCGTTTGGTAGTCTTTGGACAGACCGTAGCAAAGCAGAACAAACAAGCGTTAAACGTTCAACATAGTTCGTTTCCCGTCGCACTGGACTTAACGTAAAACAACACCGACTTTTTATTTTTTTGCAAAATTCTTGCCTCGGTGTAACAACTCGTATAATCTTGGTTTTTACTTCGAGTGGTCCATCCGATATGATAAGCTCACTGTTTGGGTAAAGTCGGAGGGTACGGGCAGCACTGTAGCCTGTAAGAATAGAGAGAGAGAGAGAGACCGAAGACGCGCATTAAACACACTCGACCTAAAAAGCCTTTTGTTGACATTGTTGTTGTTATTGTTGTTATAGTTGGGCAAACGGTGATCGTCATGCGGTGTTTGCACAACGCTTTCAGAGCACCGACCCAGGAGGTGCCGCTCGAAATGTTGATTCGATTAGACAAGTGTGAACTGTGCGTGTGTCAAGGGACAAGCTATGGGGACGAAAAGGATCGTACTCTGTATACTTTGGGGTTGTGGGTTTTTCGTTTTTTTTTTTACATTTTGACACCTCTCGACCGTGAAATTTCCCTATCGGACCGCATGCGAAAAGTCACCGCTGAAACGTACTGTAACGTTGTCGTCAAGCCAACGTTGATTTTGAAGTATAAATTTCTGTACAACTAATACCAACAAAATAAATGTGTCGAATTTTGTAAATTGCTTTGAAACTATATGCCATACCTTTGATTAAGTATATCATGTATACTAACATTAGTTATTGTAAAAATACTAAAATGAATCGGTTTGAAATGACAGGTTAAAGAAATCTATGATAATAACGTGTACTTGTTTTCTTTACGCATACACAAGGGTAGATTGATTGATTTCTAAAACCTTTTTAACATTAGCGGAATACATTAAATCAAATTAAAGGGAGAAAGCAGCACCCTCGTCACTCGTCAGCTTTATTGGGACGACAAAGTTGTACCGTGCAGTTTAAGTGAGACTACACCGGTACAGCCTATAAGATTAAACGATTATGTAGATTATATAGGCACTTGAAAATGATTTAGCAATAACCTTAAGTGCTTGTCGGTTAGTTAAAAAACGAGTCTTTAGATAGTTGGTAGTAAAAAAAAAAAAAAAAATACCCACTAAAGCATATTCTATGTGCGTTTAAAAGTATAATAAATGCCCCTATAACCGTAGTAATAAATGTATTTTAATTTGTTATTTTATTAAGTATATTTTAGTACACAATATAACTATAAAATATCCCTTGTTAATTTGAAAAAAAAAATTGATTTATCCTGTTTATTATCATTTTTGTCATAATTTTAAATGGAAAAAATTAGTTAACCAAGTGTTGATACCCAGCTTTGAATATTAGAAATAATCTACGTTTGACATTGAATACAATTGTATGTTCACAAGAAATGCTAGATAATACTTCAACATTTCTATGTATCATGGACTTATAATGGTCATCTGCTATGTAGGTGTATATTATGCATGTTTGCGTGAGAACGCACTTGGCGCGGACACAATTAGTGACTTCCGGCATAGGTACCTATCTATAAACAAAAATTAGTTTTTTGTTTATACATAAATATTTTTGTACGAAACCGGTAATTAACATTTTTTACACCTACGCTGGTTTTTTCCCAAGTATCTAACACAGAGAAACTATAAGCTGCAGTTGTTCCGTATGACCGGGTTCAAATTAACACAAGTACAGACGTTGCAGGTGGACATGCCCCCTAAAATCTACACAGACCCCTTTGGTTGTTTATGGGCAATTACTATTTTTTATTTCAGTCATTGTAAACGTTTATTTGTGCCTTATATATTAGGTGATGAGAACCAAAAAGATACAATTAGACAAGAAAAAAATATCAATAATTTCAAAATAATGTCAAAAAGTTTGATAATATTTAAACAAAAATGTATAAATAATATTTTTGAAACATTGAAGCTCCTGCCGTAACATGATTTTAAAAATACATATAAACTTTTTGACAGCATTTTTGAAATAATAGGATAATAATTTTCTGCTAGGAAGTGACGATTTTTTTGTTATTGAGTTATTTTTTAAAAATATTTACATGTTTTACGGTTACCTTTATTTAAAAATTGGCTTTACCAACGTTTCGGAAGCCTTGTGCTGGTTAGATGTTTAAAGGTATAATTCACAAAATATTGTTTTAAGATTAATATTTGTATAGTATTTCAACAACTTTTTGGAAATAATATTTTTAGTAATATTAACATTTCTGACCAAAAAGTTGTTGTATAATATTTGTACGAAGTTAACAATCGTTCTGATAATATTATAAAAATATTTTATTTTTCTGCTGACCGCAGACCGGGCATACATGTTAACATGTGTTATGTTTGCTATTATTGTATTACTTGAATATTTTCGATCAATATCAGGGTAACATTTTTGTCCGTAATACCACAAATACAATATTGGTATTTAAGAATTTCTCAACAATGTATCGAGTAAGTCGTATAATGAAGAATCAATGCTGATCATACTGCAGCAGAAGTGAACACTGTAATAAGTACACGCGCATGTAAGCGACGCGTGGACAGAGTTAATCTCGCCAAGCCAACCGCGGTGTTCCCCCATTGAAGTCTTCACTTTAGTGTCATTTATAATAATATGTCCAAGTACGGCCGTGTTACGCCATTGCTAGAGGTAATCCCTTTCACGTGTGTGTGTGTGTTTGTTTGTTTTCGGTTCAGCAACAAAGGCAAACCTCAACGGCGGCAACGTCACCGCGGCCACCGCCGCCCCTGCCGCCGCCTCGACCGACCGCCTCCGGGTCCACGGCGTGCGCGTCCGGCGGGGAGGACCGGGTCCGCGGCGGCCGGTCGTCTGCTTCGGTCGGAGGCGGCGGCGGCAGTCGTGTTCAGGACCTTCAGCCGTCGTCAACCCGTCGCCGGATACCGCGCATGGTGGATTCGCACGTGCTTTTGGTCGCCGCCGCAGACCGCAAGAAACCACCGGCCACTCCTCCGACCACGTCCGCCGCCGTCTCAGCGCCGACCACGCGGTCTTACGTGGCCGACATGTACGCCGCGACGGATGCCAGATACGGGCTGCGGTACGGACTTCAGACGTCCAACCTCGGAGTGCAAGACCCCAAAGCGTCGGCAGCCGCTGCGTTTTTCTTAAGGTCAGTTTTAATTTTTTTTCTACATAATATTGTGTTGTTATTGAAAAAGGAAACAAATCACTGACGATGAAAATGTATCGGGACGATTTAGTTTAAGACGTAAGACACTGAATATTATATTATGCGTGTTTTAGTTGATTTTAGTTAGTTCTATCCAACTCTTGAAACTCAAACGGTAACGTGTAATATAAGAACAATAATTGACTGATCATTTTGACAGGCCCATAACCGGCTTTGAATGAATTATGTAAAATTTGAATTGCGTTATCAACGTTGAAAATGTATGCGGTCGAACGTTTCAGTAAATTTGTCTCAATTTCAAACATACGTTACCAGAAATTATGTACGTTATCATTTAAGTTTTAAAATTAAAAATTAAGTTTAACTAAAATGTCTTGAAAAGGTAAAATTACAAAATTGCAATTCATTTTAAATAAGTTTTTTGCGTGAAATTTTTCATCCTGAAAAATATCAATTTTTTAATTATTGTTGCCAAGTTAAATTGTGTACATATTTCAATGATGTTTACTTATCATTGAGATTGAATAGGTTTTTATGTGCATTACACCGGTACACACAGAAACAAAATTAAGATAACAACTTTTTTAGTTATTTTTCTACAGCTGTTGTTCGGTTGAATTAAATTTAATGTTCGGCGGCATCAATACGAATCGAATACTTGTTTACATTCCGCTCGAGTACAAAGAACCACTAGTGTATGCGTAAAAAATAAACATGGTAATTATTTTCAATTTGACAATGGGAAGAACGTATAATAATAGTATAGAGTTTTCAATATTTAAGTGAATAGTCTATTACTTCCGAAAGGCGAGAGCTCCCGCTCAATATTAAAAAAAAAACTGGTTTTCATTATTAAAATATACATGCAACAAACGTAGTTAAAGAAAATAATATACTTGTATAAAAACCGGGTATGTAACTAAACGCATGTGGTACATGTGATTTATATTTTGTTTCTTTACAACATTATCAATCATATAATGGAACACATTAACTTAGGATCCAACGCATGCGTGACTTCTGATAACCTTTTTATTATAAATTTATCTTTGTAGCGCTTAAAATATCTAATTGTTCCCTTGTTTGATTAATAAAGTTTAAAGGGATTAACAAATCAAATCTGACGTAAGCGGTTATTTAAACTGGAATAATTTTCTTGGAAATGATTATGTTGGTCTTTTAGTATATAGTAAAATAATTTATATTATTATGTTTTATCTTTGGAGCCTATGATTTGGCTTAATAAGGTCGTTCATCGTCAATGGACCCTTCGCAAACAGTGTACTCGTTTAGCGGTATCTCTAATACCCATCGTTTGAATATTGACAAACTTTCGGTCCCTTGCCTCCGGGCTGGTCTATGGGGGTTTAAACTTCTGAATGAGAAACTATAATAATTCTTATCAACGTGAAACTGTTTTTTTTTTTAATAAATTTACTTTAAAATAGCTTTGTCGTTCCAAGGCATTATAAAAACAACAATTTGCTTGTGTAGACGGGAGATTCTTTTTTTAAAGTAGTATGACAATATGATAGCTTGCGGGCCACGACGAATATTCCTATTTCGTTTCAAATGGCATAGAACGTTCTCTATTATTACACCATAATAGTGCAACGCTATTAACAGTAAGTGCTTGCTAAGCATATCTGATGAAGTTTTGCCAAAATACAGCCGCGGATGACCCTTTGTCGATGCGTTTGCTTGGAAAAATAAAAAATAATTATATTAAAATCCGTTAATAAAGTAAATGTATCCAATCACAAGTGGTAGCGTGTATTTGTTTCACGTTCACCGGTCAGTGAACACGGTCTCGTTTTGTCTTATTATGGAGTTTTGTAATTAACTATATTTTCATTTACGCTTGAAGGCTATACGACAGTTATCTTGGCGGATTTTATTTTTCTATCGACACCCTTAAATTGCAAAATCTCAAATGATAATGCAAGTAAAAGTTTTTTCTGTTGGTGGTAAAAACGCTCATATAACATCTTACATGTATCCCACGAATAGGTCAAAACCCTGCATCGCCTCCCCTAGTAGGTACATATATAGGCGATTAATGTTGTAACTCAAAGGTGTCACAACTAAATGGTCTGAGCACGATGCTGTTTAGTCGTGAACACCTTCTATAGCCAAAACGCATGCGACACTAATGGGAAATATTGTGTTTTTAGCCGAAGCATTTCGCTTTCACTATTTGATGTTTCAACAATTGAACATGTGCTCATTTTAAACATTTTTTAATAACCTTCAATTCCGGGGTGACCGTTCAACTTCCGGTTTGTGTATAGTATTGAAAACATCACGAGTTAGGTTTCGGGCGTAGTGAAGCACAAAAACAAAAAACAATTGACGCTCTGTATGCACTATTCATGCGATGATCAGCTCTTCGTCCGTGCCATTAGTTCCGTATACATTTTTAATGGCACAGAAGGGATGTGCGTTTCCCGTAGGAAGACGGAACGGCGCTTTGATGGTTCGGTGATCGCAGGCCGGTGTTGTGTTATCTGTCGGTTCGCGTATCCGGCCGCGGAAATACTTCCTCTGGGGTGGGATGGGTAGAGGTAGGGGGAGGTCGTCCCCTTTTATATGGTCCACTGCCGTTGCCACGGTTAGGCTGAAAGACAAAAAATCACAAGGAACTCGACGGATTGCCGACGTCGTTTTCGGTTGTGGTTTGGAGAGATCGGCTAATGGAATACTACTATTGTTTTTACGGAACCCTTTGAATATATTTTGCGTTTGTCGCGTATGCGGGTTGGTTCACGTCGAATCAACCCTTCTGGCAAAACTCGACTAATGCCCATACCGGAAAAAACGGGGCGCAACGAGAGCCCATTGTCTAAAGCGTGGTAATAATTGAAATATAAATCATATTAATCGATATTCTATATTGTGATCTCCTATCGTTCTCGTGAACTGTTTTCGGTTAGATTAGCTCGAGAATCATTAAACGACTCACATTAACTCTCATTTATGGTGGTCCGTTAATTTAAAAACACGTTAGTACTCAATTACTCGTTTAGTTGAAAGGGTATTATGTAGTATAATTACTACATAATACCCTTTCAGCTAAACGGAATCTGCGTTTGTTGTTAGACTCAAGCAAATCGTGTTATAATTTAGTCATTTTAAGGCCTGGGACAAGATAGATTGAAGAAAACGGCTGTTGTCTTTTACATGGTTGTAAAAAGATATTGTTAAAAACTAAACTTTTAACCAGCTGTGTAATAAATGAATAGTGTCGAGATGTGTAACCTGTAATCAGTGTTAGTAAACAAAGTAATTGGCTAGGTCCTGTGTATAAATTATTTTAAAAAATAAACGCAAACTTGCTATATAGTGTTTGATAGAAAATCCACCGCCGATTCTTTCTGAGTTTGGCGGTGCTGTGTGAAAGCTTATGATTTTTTTTTATAGCATCGCACGATGCCAGATAGCGTCCCTTGTACCGTTTCGCCGACCCTCTAATACTTGAAAAAAAAATATTAACTAGATTAACGTCGAATGGGGTCTGAACTCCTTTTCGAAATCACACTTCGCCCGATATATCCGTGGGATACCGTTGCACATGACCGTTTTCTTGAGCCTTTCCTGGTGGGGACCAGTCCGAAAAACTCGATTGCCATTATCGCGTTTGGGTGTATGTTCAAAAGGGGAGTGAGTGGGACTCGTTATAAAGTGCGGTGTCGGTCGGATGCACTCTAAATAATTCATAAGACCCCATAAATCAGACGGTATTAATTAAACTGCGTGTATAATATAATAATAATAATATTTTACGATGGTGGGGGGGGAGTGGAGGGGTATCGCGGTGACGGCGAATGAAGAAAAGGAACACCGCTGCGAGATGATGCCAACCGGGATGGCCGTTGTCGTCGCTAAATCGGTAGAATTAATAAGTACTTATTTTATTAATGTTTATTAAAATGGGGTGGGTGGGAAAATTGCGTGTGTTCCCGCTTAAACGTCCTTCGCGGACTACTGAATTATTATTATTATTATTATTATTATTATTATTATTACTATTATTGTTGTTCCTATACAAAAAAAAGTGATAGCCGTATAACATTATATAGAAACGAGCAGTGTACAATATTATATTGACAATATTTATTCGTAAATAATGGTGTTCCCCCAATGATAATAATTACCGAATGGGGGAAATGTATTTGTTATAGGTTTTGAAAACATTCTATTATAATATAGAATTTCTTAAATGACGGGGCGCAAAGGGGATAAACGTGTATTTATGGATTGTGGCGGTTTTAAAAACGCCTTTAGTGCGGAATTACGAATGAAGCTGACTAATCGTTTGTTTGAATAATTGTTTGTTTATTAGCTCAAAAACATACATGCGGATATTTATGACAGAGCACAGTTACTTATTTGATTTCGGAACTAGAAACGTCTAATTTCTAATCAAATATTAATTAGCAACTGCGCTAATTGGTATTTTTAGGAAAAATTATTTCTCTTTAAGACAAATTATAATTAACCGCAAACATGTTAGAATGGGTGCAAGTTTTAATGCGGTAGTTTTACGATCAATTAAATTGTTCAGTAAACGATCAAACTTTTGTATTTTTTTATAGCTTATAAAAAAAACTTCTCGAAAAATAACGCTGAAATCACAAGCGTTAATATCATCCTTTATATATTTTTTTATCGTACGTTGTAAAATTTTGAAAAAGTTTCACCGTTGCTACTTGTATAATATGTAGGTACATGCTTAATATAATATATCAAAATTAGCGTTATTTATTTTTTTAATGTATTATTTCGAGTGGCTGTCGGCGTTGACCCTGTTGGGAACGTAATTAGTTTAGGGTTTTACGATTTATACGGTTCGCCACGGGTCTAAGATTATGTCGAGGGTTTAAAGGTTTATGCGAGCGCTATACGTCGTCTCGCACTTGGTTAATTAAGCAAAGGGGCACCCCGTTTGATATCAATTACGGTATTTTTGAACTATATAA